ATCCCCCCCCCTCCCTCCCCACACCCAGCAACAGCGCTTCGAGGCCCATAGGAGCGCCAACTGAAGGTCCCAGTGCGACCGTCGCATGCGCCCCGTTCGCATGCGCCTCCCCGCCCAGCACAGCGTTTCGTGGCCCAACCAGGGATGCCCCGCCGAAGGCCCCACTGTACCGTCCGCATGCGTTCCCCCACCCAGAACCAGGCTTTCGTGGCCCCATAGGGAGCCCCTCCGAAGGGTTCAGCGCTTACCGTTCTGCATGCGCCCCACCCCACCCCACCACACCCACACCACACCACACCCCACACACCACCACCCAACCCACCCGACCCACCCACCCCCCACCCGCACAGCGCTTCGTGCCCCATAAGGGTCCCCAGCTCCACCGCCCGCACGCGCCCCCCCCACCCCACCACCACCACCCCCACCCACCACCACCACCACCACCACCACCACCACCCACCACCCAGCACAGCGCTTCGTGGCCCCATAGGGAGCCCCACCGAAGGTCCCAGTAGTGCTACCTGGAGGCGCTGGACCTCAAGAGCGGCCTCGTCAAGGATGCCGAAAGGCAGATCGCACACATCGCCGTGAACCCTCGAGATCGGGACGACGTAAACAAGGCCGAGAAAGACGGGGAGAAGACAATCTATCTGAAGCACTTGCCGCCGGGGTTCTGGGTGCACATGGAGAAGTACACGCGCGCGCCCTTCGTGGACGACCTCAGGCGCTACGACGACAGCCACACGGGGGGCCTCAGGGGCCCGCTGGTGTTCATCGAGCCTCGTACGTCGGAGCCGTTCACCTTCCGCACCTCCAAGGCCACCCGAACGGGCTTCCCGTTCTCGCACGGCAGGGCCACCACCACAGCGGCGTGCCAGGGGGCGCACCATGCGCGAAGGCGACGGGGCGAGGGAACAGCGCTCTGGAGCAGTTTACGGCCAGACCTGCTGGGCGCGAGCAGTCCGCAGCCAGACCTCGATCCTGTGGACTCTCGCCCTGGGCCGTCGGCTGTCCGGCGCGCTGCCCCCCCGGCCGACGTCGCCCAGGCGCGATCCTGAATTGCGGCCGCCAAGAGGTCGGGAACGGCAAGAAGGAGGACGACGACTGGCGGCTGGAGCTCCACGCGCTGCTCTCGCGCGCCACGCGCCACGAGGACCTCCTGCTCACGCGGGCGCCGCGCGTCGAGTTCTTCCCGGCAGGGCCGCCGGAGGGCTTGCGAAAGCAGCTGGAGCAGTTTGCGGCGCAAGCGAAGCGGCGCAGAAGGGAGGCGACGGCCCTCGCCAGGGAGCTCGGGCTCACCGAGTTTATCCGCGAGGATTGCGCCCCGCACGAGCCGCGCCTTCTCTCGACTGTCCAACTACTTGTCTGGCCTCGCGCCGCGGACGACCCGCGCGCGTCGCTGGGGCCCTCTCGGGGCGACCAGCGCGCGTCGCGGGAATTCCGCGCTGCGTCCTGCCCGGCGCCTCGCTCGCCCGTCGTCGCTCTGCCTAGCGACCAGAGCCTTGCCCGCTGTCAGCCAGCCATCTAGCTCTCTTTGCCCCGCGCAGCGGACGACCCGCGCGCGTCGCTGGGACCCTTCCAGGGCGACCTGCGCGCGTCGCGGGGACTCCGCGCCGCGCTGCACTTGCAGCCTTAGATTTGCGCAGGCAAAGAGGGAAGAAAAGAAGGGACGGAAGCGGGTGCGATTCTCTTGAGGGGCGTGCCGACATGGGCGTCGCGGCGCGCGGGCGCTGCCGTCGGGGTTCCCGCGGAAGCTGCCTGCGGCGGCCACGCTCAGCGTCACGAGTGTTCGGACAGGCTAACGGACCATTCACATTCATATACATTTACACCAGGCGTAGCCACGATCGCACCCACGCAAATATATTCACTCGCACGCAGACTCATTCACACTCAGACTTACTCGCGCCCTGACTCACCCGCGATCAGTCTCCCGGAATTCGACCTACCGTATTCTTTTTGCGTTGTGTACCCCGCCGCAGTTCGGCACACCCCTCATACGGCACGTGGCCCCATAGGGAGCACCACCGAAGAAGATATTCACAATTGCGGTACTCGCAACTGCATATGGTTGGGTCCCTCGCCAGGCTAATTCGTTTTCAAAGCGTCCAAGACGATAATACAGGCCCCCAAGATCGCCCACGACGCTTCGGGAGGCCCCCATCAGGCCCCCACGACGGCCCCAGGACGGTTCCCGTGGCGCCCATGACAGCCCACGAAGCGCCCAACACAGCCCCAACAGCAGCCAAAGATGGCCCAATAGGGCCTCCAGACGGCCCCAAGACGGCCCCACAGGCGCCCAAGACAGCCCGAGACGGCCCCAAGAGGCACCCAAGACGGCCCAAGAGAGCCCCAGGAGGCCCCCAGGAGGGCCCCAAGAGGCCCCCAGGAGGCCGAAAATAAAGCCCGAGATGCCCCCTAACAGTTCCCAAGGAGACGGCAGCGCCCGCCATCAGGTTTCGAAAAGGCAACCGGAAGATTATCCTGGCGACGGACCCAACCATATGCATTTGTGGGCACCACAATTGTGAATATTTTTTTCGGTGGAGCTCCTTGTGGGGCCACGAAGCGCTGCACTGGGTGGGGGGGAACGCATGCGGGCGGTAGAACTGGGGCCGTCGGGCGAACTCCCTATGGGGGCACGAAACGCCGTACTGGATGGGTTAAAATGCCAAGTTTGGTGTGTGGGACGCACGCGGGCGGTCCCATTGGTGGTTTCGGTGGAGTTTCCTATGGGGCCACGAAACGCACGAGGGGTGTGCCACACCTGGTTTCCAAGACGCATGCGGACGGTCCCACTGGGGGCTTCGGTGGAGCTCCCTATGGGGCCACGAAGCGCTGCACTGGGTGGGGGGGAACGCACGCGGGCGGTAGAGCTGGGGCCGTCGGGCGAACTCCCTATGGGGCCACGAAACGCCGTACTGGGTGGGGGACAAATGCAAAACCTGGCGTGTGGGACGCACGCGGGCGGTCCCAGTGGCGGTTTCGGTGGAGCTCCTTATGGGGCCACGAAACTTATGAATGGTGTGCCAAATTTAGTTCCCGGGACGCATGCGGACGGTTGCACTGGGGGCTTCGGCGGAGCTTCTTATGTGCGGATGGAAATGCCAAATTGGGTTTCCTAGACGCACGCGGACGGTCCCAGTGGGGGCTTCGGTGGAGCTCTCTACAGGGTCACGAAACGCCGTAGTGGGTGGTGTGTAAATACCAAAATTGTGTTTCAGGGAGACATGCGGACAGTCCCACTAGGGGGTTCGGTGGGGCTCTATGGGGCCACGAAACGCCGTACTGGGTGGGGTGAAAATGCCAAACTAATTTTCCGGGACGCACGCGGACAGTCCCAGGAGCTTCGGTGGGGTTCTCTATGGGGCCACGAAGCGCTGCACAGGAGGGAGGGGGACGCATGCATACGGTAGCACTGGGACCTTCGGTGGGGTTCCCTATGGGGCCACGAAACGCTGTACTGGGTGTGGGGGACGCATGCGAACGGTAGCAGTGGGACCTTCGGCGGGGCTCCCTGCAGGGCCACGGAACGCTGTACTGGGTGGGGGGGACGCATGCGGACGGTAGCACTGAGACCTTCGGTGGGGCTCCCTATGGGGCCACGAAACGCTGTACTGAGTGGGGGGGGGACGCATGTGGACGGTGGCCCTGGGACCTTCGTTGGGGCTCCTTATGGGGCCACGAAACGTACTGGTGGGGGGGACGCATGCGGACGGTAGCACTTCGGTGGGGGGGTACTGGGTGGGTGCGGACGGTACCTTCCCTATGGGGCCACGAAACGCTACACTGGGGGGGACGCATGCGGACGGTAGCATTGGGACCTTCGGTGGGGCTCCCTATGGGGCCACGAAACGCTGTATTGGGTGGGCGGGACGCATGCGGACGGTAGCACTGGGACCTTCGGTGGAGCTCCCTATGGGGCCACCAAACGCTGTATTGGGTGGGGGGGACGCATGCGGACGGTAGCACTGGGACCTTCGTTGGGGCTCCCTATGGTGCCACGAAACGTTGTACTGGGTGGGGGGAACGCATGCGGACGGTAGCACTGGGACCTTCGGTGGGGCTCCCTATGGGGCCACGAAACGTGTGAGGGGTATGCTGAAACGGGTGATGATGATGATGATGATGATGATGATGATGATGATGATGATGATGATGATGATGATGATGATGATGATGATGATGATGATGATGATGATGATGATGATGATGATGATGATGATGATGATGATGATGATGATGATGCTGATGATGATGATGATGCTGATGATGATGCTGATGATGCTGATGCTGATGATGATGGTGATGATGGTGATGATGATAGTGATAGTGATGATGATGATGATGATGATGATGATGATGATGATGATGATGATGATGATGATGATGATGATGAAAATGATGAAAATGATGAAAATGATGAAAATGATGAAAATGATGATGGTTATGGTGATGGTGATGGTGATGGTGATGATGATGATGATGATGATGATGATGATGATGATGATGATGATGATGATGATGATGATGATGATGATGATGATGATGATGGTGATGGAGGAGGGAGGAGGGGGAGGAGGAGGAGGAGGAGAGGAGAGGAGAGGAGGAGGAGAACGCGGGGCGACGTCTCTTCAAAACGAGGACCCAACACCACAGGATGGTTGGGAAAAAGATACCAGAGCCCTCCGGGTGACCTTTTTCTAGACCCAAGGTGCTTTCAAAATTGTTCAAACCAGGGGGAGCAGACAAGCGGCGAGAGGCACACCGCAGACCCACCATAGCCGTCTGTGACGCTCCGAAGGCTGTCCAGGCAGACGTGGAGCGGAAAGCGGACGAAGAGGAGGAAGCGCCCGCCTTCCAACTTCGGAAAGGCGGCCAGAAAAAAGTCACCGAAGGCTTCGAGGTGACTTTTTCCTGGGCGGGGGCCCAACGTGGAGGCGCGCCAGGGGGACTTGCTTGCTGGTCGTGGACGAAGTCCACGGGTTCGCCCTGGTCAGCTACAGTGCTGGGATCAGCGCGTGCGAGAAGGGCGAGCAGTGGCAGCCGGCGCTTGCGCTGCTGAGCGAGATGCGGGAGGCGAAGCTGGAGCCCGACGTCACCTGTACTACAATACCGGGCTCAGCGCGTGCCAGAGGGGGGGCATTAATTCCACCCGCCGGGCCTGCAGTGCGGCGCCTCCGCGGCCCCGCGCGTGCGGCGCCGACGACCTGCCCCGAGAGAGCCCCGCGAGTGGCCCAAAAGGCCCCCAGAGTACCCCATCTGCAAGAGGGCTCCCAGACTGCCCGAGAGAGCCCCCACCAGGTTTCACGAAGCTCCCCATACGGCCTCCGAAAGGGCCACGAGGACGAACAAGTATTAATAGTTTTTAGGTGTTTCCGCACTGCCTCTTGCGATCGCTTCCCTGGCCAAAACACTCCCAACCCGCCCCCAGAAGCTTCCCAAATCGTCTGGAGGGCGCCCAGCCAACGGATGCTGCAACGCACCCCGCTGTTGCAGCATCCGTCGGGTGCTTGCTGGGGGCCGTCTTCGCCGCCAGGCTCCCCTCCTCCTCCTCCTCCTCCTCCTCCTCCTCCTCCTCCTCCTCTTCCTCCTCCTCCTCCTCCTCCTCCTCCTCCTCCTCCTCCTCCTCCTCCTCCTCCCTCCTCCTCCTCCTCCCTCATCCTCCTCCTCCTCCTCCTCCTCCTCCTCCTCCTCCTCCTCCTCCTCCTCCTCCTCCTCCCTCCTCCTCCTCCTCCTCCTCCTCCTCCTCCTCCTCCTCCTCCTCCTCCTCCTACTCCTACTCCTACTACTCCTACTCATCCCCCTCCTCCTGCTCCCGAGGGCACCGTCGGATCTGCTCCACAGGTACACGCTAGTCAGCTACAGCGCTGGGATCAGCGCGTGCGCGAAGGCCGAGCAGTGGCACGAGCAGTGGCATCAGGCTTTGTCACTGTTCAGGGGGATGCAGGAGGCCAAAGTGGTGCCCAACACCATCTGCTACAGTGCTGGGATCAGCGCGTGTGGGAAAGGCGGGCAGTGGCAGCGGGCTCTCTCGCTGCTCAGCGATATGCGGGAGGCGAAGTTGGATGCCGACGTTATCAGCTACTGCGCTGGGATCAACGCGTGTGCGAAAGTCAAGCAGTGGCAGCAGGCCCTGCTGCTGCTCAGCGAGATGTCAGAAGCGGAGTTGAAGCCAGACGTCATTTGCACCACAATTCTAGACCGTGCCCATGCCCACGGGCGAGCAGTGTTGCCGCTCAACCTCCAGGGTGAGCCTAAGACAGTTCCAAAGCGGCCTAAGACTGCCCCAAGATAGCCCACGGACCCCCCCTGGATGGCCGCCAGACTCCCCAAATGGTCCTGACAGGCCCCCAAGAGCCCCAACATATTCAGGCCCGAGAGGCCCCAAAAGAGGCCCCGAGAGCGGCCAGAACAGGCGCGGGCAGAAACGACCGCCTGATAGTCCGAGAGCGCCTTATCCGGCTCAAGAGGCTCAAGGCTGCACGTCGCCCTACGACGCTACGACGGCCCGTGATGCCCCAAGAGGTCCTGGACATGTCCACGCACACACCCCAGCAGTGGCAACAAAGCGAGCATCAGAGCCAGCAGCAGCGGCATGGAGCAGCAAACAGCAAGAAGCAAGCATGAAGCAGCTGCAAGCATTATCAGCAAGCAGCGGTACCAAGAAGACGCATCAACAGTCGTAAACATGAGCAGCAAGCGACAGCAGCGAAGAGCAGAACGTGTCTGACGACCCGCCGGCGGTTTCGCAGGCAGTCCGGGAGGCCCTTGTAGCACGCCGCAGGGATCTCAAGGGGCCCCAGGGCATTCCCTTGCCCTGCCATGCACGCCTCGAGGCGGATCACAGGCGGCCCCACGAGGATCAACGTGCTTCCTGAATCGTCACTTGGCCGAGCCGTGCTGCATGAACAAGTCGCCTGCGGATGTGCCCCGCTGGGCGTCAGTCCCTTCCCCTCCTCCTGCACGCTGGCCACTTCGCTTCTCGGTGCCCCCGCCTGGCTCTATCGCTGGTGCAGCCATTCTGCTTCGCCGCCAACCCAGACATGCGACGTCCTGATTTTTTCAGGACGGCACCCCTAGAAGTCCCGACCCTTTCCCCAGGACCAGTTTTTCGTCCTGAGTAGTTCTTTGACGGTCCCGAGGCCCGGCGAGGGCCCCCCCGGGGCCGAGAATCGCAAGACCTCACGTCCTGACTTCTGCTACGACGCGATCATGCCTGGGGCCCTTCTGCTTCGCCGCCGACGAAAATCTGGCCCGCTGGGTACACGCTGGCCTACCCTGCGCGGCCAGGGGCGGCGCGTGCCAGGAGGGCGGGGGCGCCCGCGTGGCCCAAGGTCGCGCCCGGCGGTGGGCCTCTCTCTCGGCGGCCCCGCCAACACTGGCGGGCCTCCGGACAGCCCCCAGGTGGTCAGGTGGTCCTCAGGCGGCCCAGGACGTCGCCAGGACTGCTTCACGACGGCTTCACGGGCGCAAGCTTCTTTTGGAAATCCTTGTTGCGAAACCATGTGCTTCATATGACGTTTTCGGGACCCTCGACCTTGAAGTCCCTACGAAACCTAAGGTTCTTAAGGGATTTCGGCATGCGCGCGCGACGACGCGCGCGTGTGCACTTCGTCTCATTTGCTGCAAGGGGTTCTTGGAAACTGATGATTTGTGACGCGCATCGTATTATTTGATTCCAGACGGCCAGGCCGCAAGCCAGGAGGCTCCCAAGACGGCCCACGACGGCCCAGGAGGACTTGGATGATGGCCCGAGGAGGCCAAAAGCGTGTACTGCCCCACGGTTTCCAAAGGAGCTTCTGGTTCGCGCTGTATCCGGCAAAGAACGGCCCAAGACGGCTCCAGAGCTCGCCCAGACCGCCGCAAGACGGCCCAAGAGGCCCCCACAGGGCTCCAACACAGCCTAAGAGAGGCCCAAAACGGCCCAAGGGGACCTCACCAGGGCGCCAAGAGCCCCAACAGACAGACCGCAGAGGGCACCAAGACGGCTCAAGATGCACAGAAGATACCCCAGCCGGCCCAAGAGGCACCTAAGACGGTCCAAAGCGGGCCCAGAATGGCCCAAGAGGGCCTCCACAGGCCCCGGATAGGCGTGATGGACGCTCCGAAGATACAACTTTCTTCGCAAATCGGCTCCCATTACCGAGCAGTGGCTTACCCGAAGCTCTCGACGCCAGAACTCCAAGGAGCGAGCAGTGACACGAGAAAGCGCCAAGAAGCGCTTACCACAATCGCTCCCTCGGGCGAAGGCTGACGTAGGGAGCTTTCAGACATCGCCTCCTCGAGACCCATCGCCCCCTCAAACTCGACGAAGGCCGCCCAGAACCGGTCCCTGGACCCTTGCGGGGGTCTGCCCAGACTGCCCTCTCCTCCCGGATCGATTGTTGCCGGCCCCAGGGCCCGAAAACAGTTCCAGAGGTCATCATTTCAGCCTGTCGGCAGCATGTCCTCCTCCTCCTCCTCCTTCTCCTCCTCATCCTCCTTCTCCTCCTCCTCCTCCTCCTCCTCCTCCTCCTCCTCCTCCTCCTCCTCCTCCTCCCTCCTCCTCTCCTCCTCCTCCTCCTCCTCCTCCTCCTCCTCCTCCTCCTCCTCCTCCTCCTCCTCCCTCCTCCTCCTCCTCCTCCTCCTCCTCCTCCTCCTCCTCCTCCTCCTCCTCCTCCTCCTCCTCCTCCTCCTCCTCCTCCTCCTCCTCCTCCTCCTCCTCCTCCTCCTCCTCCTCCTCCTCTCCTCCTCCATGTCCACGATCACGTGCCAGTACGTGCAGCTTTCGTGGACGCAGTCCGCGGGTCGGTCAGCTACAACGCTGGGCTCAGCGCGTGCGAAAGGGGAGAACAGTGGCAGCGGGCCCTGTCGCTGCTCAGCGAGATGTGGAAGTCGAATTTGGAGCCCAGCGTTATCTGCTCGACTTCAGGCTTTCGGCCACCTCGCCTTCCTGGTTCCAGGCAGGCCCAGTGTGCCCAAGGTGGCCTGGCAGAGAGACTTGGCCAGGCCATCGGATCGGTGGTGCCACGGAGAGAGGCGCATATGCCTAAGGAGGAGCAGCAGCAGCAGCAGCAGCAGCAGCAGGAGGAGGAGGAGGAGAAGAGGAAGAGGAGGAGGAGCAAGAGGAGGAGGCGAAATGTCTGGGGTGGCAGGAGCGCGTGCCAGCGCGCGGGCAGGCCCTGCGCCTCCTCCGCGGCGGCCTGCGCCGCGCGGGGAGGAGGAGGAGGAGGAGGAGGAGGTCCGTAGCCATTTTGGCTCAAGGCTAAACGGAGGACGCTAACGTAACATAGCTGACTCTGATTAGCTTTGGCCCGTCCGTCGTTCTCTGTCGAGCGATTCGGGTACACTCACGATCCTGCTGTGTGCGAGTCTGCCGCAGCAGTCCCTCTTTGCTAACGTTTCCTTCACGACGCCGTCTTGGCCCCTCTTCCCGCCCGCGAGAGCTCCCATTGGGAGCCAGCCGATGCCACCGCCGGCCCGCGATGCGCGAGGTTGCCTGTCTGCCTCGGCGCACTCCTCGCGGCCTGGCGGCGCTGGACCCGCTGCCCGTGGACATCAGGTGCGGGAGGCGTCCCGCGGGGAAGGTTCTCCCCGCTCGCGCTCGGGGGGAGCCGCGGCCGCTGAGGAAGAGAGGCAGCGACAGGCTGGGCATGGACGCCGTTCTCCTGCTAGTGCTCGCTCTGTGGACCCTCTGCAAGCCGCTGCAGATCCATGGAGCAACGACGCTGCCGCCAGTGCTGGCCCACCCGCTCCCAAGCGGCCACATGTGCAGCAAGAGGCCAGTGACGGATCCTCCTCTTCGCTTTCGAGGGGAGACATCGACGAGCTGCTGGCGGCCTTCAAGTCGGATGTGGAGAGATCCATCAACGCACGCATGGGCGAGACCAAGCGAAGCATCATCGCAGAAGTCAATGGTCACACTGCAAACTTGGTCAAAGCCGTCGGTGATCGACAAGAGGCCACAAATGTACAAGTACGCTCAGAGCTGGACGAGCTCCGCCAGCGCCAGAACTCCTTCGAGGCAGAGCAGCGACAGGTCAAAGCTGAAGTGGAGCAACTCCGACGTGAGTTGCACATCGCGGAGGCCACAATCCCCATCAAGGACTTCGGCAGCGCGCTGGAGTGGGACAGAGACCCCGATGGCACAGTCTTCATTGCGAATACGGAGGCCATGGTCACGGGGGACGTCCTCAAGGAACAGCTGGCGCCCTGGTTGCAGGACGCGGGCATGGAGGAGCATCAATGGAAGGTTCTGGGCAACTCGCCTGGTCGAAGATTCACGGTGCAGATGTCTGGGGATGCGAATGCAGGGATGCGCAAAGTCAAACAGGCCCGCCGATTTCTCAGGCAGAACAATGAGTGGAGACAATTCAGCTGCCCGACGGTGGAAGGAGGTCGCTCGCGCATTTTCGTGGGCTTGGACAAAAGTGGCAAGATGGTTAGACGTGAAATTCAAACTAAGAAGTTGGCAGGTCTGGTTCGTGAAACACATATGCAGAGCTTCGAGTGCGACATGATCGGACGAAGGGCATTGTGTTTGTGGATGGACAACCAGCCGTGCAGCTCGAGATCGGACAGGAAAAAGATGCCCCGACGAAGTTACTTTGGAACTATGCAGCGGTTCGTTCAAAGAATCTGGACAAGGAAACATTGCTGGCGCGCTTCAACGGTATATTTCACACATCAGAGGAAGTGCGGTGGCAGATTTAATATGATTATGCAGCCATGGATTGAGGACCTCTCGCAGTATGACATTGGGGTTCCCTCTTTTATCACATGGAATGCTCGAGCCCTTCTTCATCATCTTCCTGCGACCAGGAAAAAGAAATGTAGACGATTGGCAACCTTGATGAAGCCTCACACCATGATTGGATTACAAGAAGTACACGGCACAGAAGAGGAGCTGCGACATGAAGTATATCTATCACACAGGAAGGCAGCAGTCTTCGCTTCAATACCTCGGCACAACGCTGGCGGAGTGGCTCTTCTTCTACCTGGCTTCTCTCAGCAGGAAGCGGATGAAGCTGTGGAAGCGGGACGCCTCAGGCACACGGTGATCGTGCCTGGCTATGTCCAACGCCTCCAAGTGAAGGCGAGGGCATCCCACTCCAATGGCTCCCGCACTCAAGATAGCATGCTCGTGGTCTACAACATTCACAACTTCGGCCTGGACGAGTCGGTGGCGACGACGCTGATGAGAAGGATTGCTGCGGAGGCTGAAATAGCTGAGGCAAATCCACAGCGCTCCACTGTGCTGCTCATGGGGGACTTCAACTTCCACGAGAGGGCAGCGATGTACCTGGCCACCCCAGAGATTGACAAGGGTGTCATGACGCAGGCGCGCCACAGGGAGAGAGGGAACCTCTGGATGGACGCGCTGGCGGGCCTTGTGGAGCTGGACCCTGAGCAGCCGACGCACTACGTCCATGACGGTGAGCGCCTCACACAGCTAGACAAGTTTTTCACCTCGTCGCCTGGCTGGATGCTCATCAATTGGTGCATCTCGGCCACGGTAATGGACAAGCCCGAGGAGCTCCACAGCCAGGGCATTTCTGACCATGCGCCTGTTCGCGTGACGTTCGCTGTGCGTCCGCAGCGCCCGCCACAGGAGCAGCCGCTCCCGAGGCATGTCTGCAGCTCCCCATCCTTCACCCACTTCCTTTCGCTTCTGATCTCTCACTCCCCTCTCTACTCTCTCCCAACTATAGCTCGGTGGCGTGAATATAAACGTCTGCTCAGGGAGGCCGCCCGAATGTCCAGGGATGCGTTGATCAAACACTCGGCCCCAGAGCTTGACTCGAAACTTCTGATTTACAGATCTATTGCTAGGGCTGTTAACTATAACGACACTCGACTTGCTTCGAAGCTGCTGGCCACTGCTCCTGCCGCCGCCGAGCATATCACGCTGGAGGGAGAAGGTCGTGTCGGTCTGAGGTCTACTGTCGTGTTCCGTCGTCAATACGAAGCCCTCCAGCAACAGCGCGCAGAGCGCAGATTAGCCTCGGCGGAATCGGCGGTGAAAGCTAGTGAGTCACAGAAGGAGCGCAAACGTTTAAGAGCATATATGTACTCGGAGCGCAGGCGTGCCAAACTTTGGGCGCCTGTTCGGAAGTCCCTTCCGCTCCAGGCCCTGGTGGGCCCTGATGGTGCTGTCGTCTCGGATGCGCAGACGATGACATCGGCGTTGCATCAGCACTGGGCCCCTGTGTTCACGTGGAAGCAGGTCCCTGTCCAGCATGTCCGTAGGTACTTAGCGCAGCACGCTGTATCTTTTGACTGGACCGAGGTCAGTGTCCCCACGGTCAATCAAATCAGGGAGACTCTGAAGCGAGCGAAGCCTACTGCTCCAGGCCCTGACGGCCTCCCCTATGCAGCATGGCAGCAGCACGAATTATCTGCAGAGATTCTTTACGACCTCCTCCTCTACCTCCAGGCTGGCTTCCCCCCTCCCACTGATATGAATGAAGTGATTCTTATCTTCGCGCCTAAAGGCAAGCGTGAAGACGACAGTCAATGTGTTGTGAGAGAGCCTGCAGCCACAAGACCGCTTGCTCTCAAGAACACGGACATTAAAGTGCTCTCATCGGTCTGCAATTTTCAGTTTAAGAGAATGTTGAGTTCCCAGGCTCAGGAGGACCAAAAGGGCTTCCTAGTCGGCAGAAATTTTTTGGATAACATCACCCTCCTGGATACCACGTCCAGGATCCTAGGGATGTCCGACGTCGCCAGGGTCCATCACCCCATCCTCTTCCTTGCGGACTTCGGCAATGCCTTCCCCTCTCTGGCTCACAGTTTCCTGTGGGAGGTGTTGACCAGCGTGGGAATGCCATCGGGTCTCCTGGCGTTCTTTCAAGCCACGTACGCCTTCGCCTGTGCAAAAACTCCGATCCTGGGCCAGCTGCTGGCATTTTGTGTGATTAGCTCGGGCGCCAAGCAGGGGGATCCTGCCAGTGGATCGTTGTGGGCCTTCTCGATGGACCCCCTCCTGAGAGCCCTCAGGAAGCGCCTCGCCCTCTCGCCTGGTTCGGAGGCGGGAGTGTGTGCGGACGATGTGGGTTTAGCTCTCTCGGAAGTCAAGGCTCTTAGGAGAGTGCATAGTGTTTTTTATGCTGCCGAAGTCCTAGCGGGGCTTCAATTAAAGATACCAAAGTGCTGCATCGTTCCGCTGGAAGCGGAGTTCTCCCCAGGATTGAAGAAGTCAATCGAAGCTCTGCTAGCGATACATGTCCCGAGCTGGAAAAGCATGCCTGTAGCTGCCATGGCAGAGTACCTTGGGGTATGGATTGGGCCTCCTGCGAACATGGAGATGTGGTCGAGGATGTTTCGGGAGTGGGTGGAGGTGGTTCACGCGATAACAAAGCAGCAGGCCGCTCAACCGGTCGCCATCCAGCTTTATAACTCTCGTGCTGTCTCCAAGTTCTCCTACCTTTGCCAACTTGCCCCTCTCCCAAAGCATGTGGCGCGATGGGAGTCGTGGGCCCTGCACAAAGTCCTTCACCTCCCCTCCTGCACTTTCCCGCTCCAGGACCTTCTCGCTCTAAGGACTTGGGCCAAGGTTCGCCCTCTGTCGCTCAAGGTGCAGGCCACAGCGACGCTGTGGCGAGCCGCGGCCATCACCATCAAGAACTGGAGGCCGCTGCTTGGCCGCCTGCAGAAGAAGGCTAGGTCCGCCCTCCCCATCGCGCTATGGACCCGCAATTGTTGGTCACCTCCGTTCTGGCAACGTAGAGCCTTTGTCCAGGAGCTGGCCGAGGCGGCAGCAGGTTTTGTTGAGAATGATTGGCTTCGGGCTCCTGTGGCTCGAGCCAAGCTGGCCCTGAAGGAAGCCCAAGAGGGGAACCCGCGGGTCCAGGTCCAGAGAGTTTTCGGCCGTTCCTTGGGAGCGAGTCTGTATCAGGATCGCCTCTCGAACACCATCATACGGCGTATTTCCTCGTGGGCCTCGAGGCCCCCTTCTGCCCGCGCCATGAAAGCCATTGACTGGCCAGCTCTCCGTGATCGAATGATGAGCGCGCCACCATCATGGCAGATGTGCATTGTAAAGACTCTGGCGGGTGGGTGGGTGACGGAGCGGAGGATGTCTCAGAAGCGCTGCATGTGTATCTTCGGGTGCTCTGAGGAGGAAGGTGAGGATAGCCAGGCTCATTATATGTCCTGCCCGTGGCTGTGGGGTGCTGTCCACCAAGTCTGGCATCCCGACAAACCCCTCCCAGTGCATCTTGACTCCCGGCTTGCCCTCGCTCGCTCGCTTACAGATGACGAGCGAGACCTGGCAGCCCAACGTATTGTAATTGCATACTACCTGTACAATGCTCATCGTCGTTGCTCTTCTCAGGCTCTGGTAATTTCTGCTCGGGCTGCCCGAGCCCAGATGCTTCAGCAGGCTGATGTAGAGTGATGATGACTTGAGGACTTTCCTGGGCTACGTGCGAGGAGGAGGAGGAGGAGGAGGACGAGGAGGACGAAGCCCGAGGATACCTCCGAGTGGCCCCCACGAGAGCCCAAGAGGCTTCCAAACTGCTCCCAGAGAAGCGAGACGGCGACAGTTGTCAACGCCCCAGGGGCCCTGCGTGCTTCACTTCGGGGAGGGGCACTGTCGTGGGACCTGCTGTTCCCCAACGAAGATCGAGAGGACGATGGCCCATGCACACGCTGAACACGCCAGACGACGTGACCGTCTATCTGCACCACAGTCCACGGGTTCGCTGAACACGCTAGTCCACGGGCCCTATGCACACGCTGAACACGCTAGTCCACGGCTTCGCCCCAGCCTATCTTCACCACAGTCCCGGGAGCAGCGCGTGCGAGCTCAGACCACGTGGCTCGGGGCGGCTTCCCGCGCCCAGGGGCCGGGCCTCGACGGCCGCCGGCGCCCCCTTGGGACAGCCCTCGACCGCTCGAGACGGCACCTGGACGCTCAAGAGAGCGCCAGGAAACCCTGCGCAGAGTCCCACCAAGGCCCAAGCTGCCCCCGAGACTTCCGGGAGGGCCCCAGGACCAGAAAGAGAGCTCCGAGACGGCCGCAGAGCACCCCCATGACGGCCCGATTGGCCAAAAATCGTGCGCAGTCGTAGTTGTCGCCACTGGTTTCCAGGTTCTCTCCATCTCGGGCCCGGAGACGCTCCAGACGGCCAAGAGCAGCGCCACACGGCCTTGGGGAGCTCCGACATGGTCTCGGTCTTGCCCGAGAGGCTTCTGCCATGACTTTTTGGACGGCTCGAAAGGCCCACAGACGCCCCAAGACGGGCCCATGGAGCCCCACGGGCCTCCCGACACAGCCCCAGGACGGTCCCAAGCGGGCTCCCGCACGGCCTCGGCCTCCCTACGGCCGACCCCAGCAGCCCCATCACAGCCCCCAGGGCCCCATGAGGGCCCCAGACCGGGGCAGGAGGCCCCAAGAGAGCCCCAAGACGGGCCCATAGAGCCTCACGAGCCCCCCGAGCCAGCCCCTGGTGGGCTCCCGCACGGCCTCGGCCCCCTACAGCTGACCGCAGGAGCCCCACAACACTGCCCCAGGGCCCCATGAGGGCCCCAGACTGGGGCAGGAAGGCCCCGCGGAGGCCCCTCGAGCGTTCCATGACAGCCCTGCAGAGCCTCCAGACAAAAACCAACAAGGATGTCAGATTTGTCCGCCGGGGCCGCGGGCTTCGGTGAAGCCTCGCCGAGGCTACGCCGGCGGCGTCAGCGGCCCCCGATGGGTCCCGCGGAGGCTCCACGAGCGTTCCAGGACAGCCCCGCAGAGCCTCCGGACAAAAGCCAACAAGGATGTCAGATTTGTCCAGCCGCGCCCGCGGCCCCCGATGGGACCTCGCCGAGGCTACACCCGCGGCGTCAGCGGCGCCCGATGGATCCCCCCTACGGCCGATTAGGGCCTTCCCTCATCGAGGCTCTGGCCGCCCTGCCCCAAGACAGCCCCAAGACCACGATCCCTCTCCCTGGACCACTCCGAGATGGAGCAGACCCCCCCTCCAGCCCCGGATCCTGGAGCCTGCAGCAAGCCCTGCAGCTAATGTCACCTCAGGGGTGACAGGGGGGACCTGCTGACAGCAACCTCACAGCACGCCCCAGAGGCGCCCAAGCACCGCACGACGCCTTCAGGACGCCCCAGGCAGGCTCGCAGGAGGGCCTGACATAGTCCCGACACGGCCCCAGGGACGCCCGAGCTGTTCAGCTTCGACGAGCTGTTCACCCTCGGTGTGCGAGGTCCAGGTTCAGCACGCCGTGGATTTAATCCACGGGCTCGCCTTAGTCAGCTACAACGCTGGGGTCAGCGCGTGCGAGAAATGCGAGCAGTGGCAGGGGGCATTGTCGCTGCTGCGCGATATGGGGGAGGCGAAGCTGGACCCCGACGTCATCTGCACTACAATACGGGGCATTGCGCGTGCCAGAAATACACATTGATTGCCCCCGCCTGGCCCACGGCGGCGGCGCCTCCGCGGCCCCGCTCGTGGTGCGACGACGACCTGGTCCAGGAGAGCCCCGCGAGTGCCCCGGACGGCCCCCAGAGCGCTCTTCTGCAGCGCAAGAGGCCGCCCACACAGCTTGGGAAGGCCCCCGCCAGGCTCCACCAGGCTCCCAGATGGCCTCGGAGGGCCACGAGGACGCAAAACGATCGATATGATCAGGAGATGTTGTCCATTCTTTCTCTTGCGATCGCTTCTCTGGCCACCAGACGCGCAGCCCGCCCCGAGAAGCCCCCCGATTCTTCCGGAGGGGCTCCCCAGAGAGCCCCCCACGAGGGCCCCGGGAATTCTGAAGGTGGCCGCACAGCCCCCCACGACGGCCCCGAGGGAGGCCCAACAGGGCCACTGGGGCGCCCCCCGCCCATCCCGCCCCCCCCCCCCTGCCAGCAAGGCCCAAAGAAGCCCCCCAGAGGCTCCCAGACGGCCTCTGGGACGCTCCCCAGCGGCTCCCAGAAAGCCTCCTCTGCTCCACGGGGCTCCCGGAGGGCCTCCAGCAGCTCCCTCGCAGAGGGCTCCGATGAGCTCCTAAAATCGTCAGACGATTCGAAGAATCCGCACCCCACACCTCTTGGGGCACCTCTCGCGCGGAAGGGGGGGCAGAAATGGTTGTCCGATGCAGCCGCGGACACTCGGGAACGTTGTTTCTGCGACCCTTCCCGCACCGAGCGTGTCCCAAGAGGTGTGGGTGCGGTTTCTTCCCAGCATGTTGGGCCTCTTCCTCCTCCTCCTCCTCCTCCTCCTCCTCCTCCTCCTCCTCCTCCTCCTCCTCCTCCTCCTCCTCCTCCTCCTCCTCACCCCCGTCGTCGCTCTCCTCCGCCCCAGGCGTTCCTGCCCGCGGAGTTGGAGCCGCGCGATTTCCCGGAGGGGGAAGATGACGGATGAGGAGGAGGACGAAGAGGACGAGGAGGAGGAGCAGCACGAGCCAGAGGACGAGGACGGGCCAAGCATGACGACGAGCAGGAGGAGGAGGAGGAGGAGGAGGAGGAGGAGGAGGAGCACTAGGCGGAGGATGAGGACGACACAAGCAAGAGGAGGAGGAGGAGGAGGAGGAGGAGGAGGAGGAGGAGGAGGTGGAGCAGCTGCTGTTGCTACTGCCCATTCCCCTGGATCTGATACCACTGATACTGCTAGCGCTGCTCTGGACGCCCTCAGAATCATCGAGCAAGCAGCGCACCCTGAAGCAATGAGCAACAGCAGGTGCATTTAGTTCACTGACATTCGTGGACGGTAATCCACGGGTCAGCCCTAGTCAGCTACAACGCTGGTATCAGCGCATGTGAGAAAGGCGAGCAATGGCAGCTGGCCATGTTGCTGCTCAGCGAGATGTGGGAGACGAAGTTGGAAGCCAATGTCATTAGCTACAGCGCTGGGATCAGCGCGTGCGAGAAGGGCGAGCAGTGGCAACGGGCCCTGTCGCTACTCCGCGGGATGGTCGAGGCGAAGTTGGAGCCCAACGTTATCTGTTCCCGAATGGCAGGCACAGCACCATGTGAAACGGCTGCTGCTCCTCCTCCTCCTCCTCCTCCTCCTCCTCCTCCTCCTCCTCCTGTTTCCTGTTTCCTGATGGCATGAGAGTGCTCCGCACGCTGCCGCTTCCCCCAGGACTGGCCGTCCGGCCAGCCCTTGGGGAGTAGAACAAAAGAGTCGAAGATTAGATAACAGGAGACAGACAGGGAGAAGAAAGAGGGAGTAAGGAGAGGGCAGCAGACCTCATCATCAAAACATTACCGCAAGAAAAGGGAAGAGGAGAGGGGCACGTGTGGTCGGCACGAAAGGCTGTAGCTGGAACGGTGACACGACTCCGCTGCGAGCGTGGCAGGCTCTGCCTCTCGGCGCCTTGAGGTTTTAATGGTGCACCTCTAACCTCCGCGGCCTAAGCAGTCTTGCACCAAGAAGCCGCGGATGAAACTGTCGGGGGGTCCCTCAGGTGTTGTTCGTAAGTTCTTTTCGGGTTAAAAACCAGGTGCACTGTTGCAGCAGCCGTGTGAAAAAAGGCAAAGTACGGCGACGGTTCGCTGGTTGGTGGCAGCCGACATGCAAAACCAGGCGGAGTGGAGCGTGGCGAGGGCGGCTGAAACAGGTAGGGACCCTGCTCTTCCTCCCCCTCCCCCTCCTCCTCCTCCTCCCCCTCCTCCTCCTCCTCCTCCTCCTCCTCCTCCTCCTCGGCCTCTCCACCTGCCCACAGGAACCCCCCACAGTCGTCCCCGATCGCCAAAACACCGTGTAGCTCGAGCCCTGCCCTCCCAACCTGTACTGTACCCCTGGTAAACGTCGCCGCCGCGCCCTGCCCACCTGCCCCCCCCCAGCACCCACCGTTCGGAAAAAGTGTGTGGCAGCACGAAGTAGGAAAGCGTTGGAGGCAGATTGGGCTTCCGCCCGCCCCCTGAAAGGGAAAGGAACATGAAAACCGCTCGAATCTTGAAATAGGAGAGACATATATCCGGGTGCAAAACGCATGAACACAAAAGCCGTGGCCTCACAGGGCGTCGCAACAGGAAGGCCCAAGAGCGCTCCGAGACCCTATCAGAACTCCCGGAGAGGACCCCAAGACGCTCCAAGACGCTCCAAGAGGGCTTCCGAGATGGTCCAAGAGCGCTCGAAGACGTCCAAGATAGCCTCCTGACGACCCAAGAGGAGCCCAAATTGCTCCAAGTGGGCTCCAAGAAGAGAGAGCCCGAACGAGGAAAGATCCTCCAAATCCTTAAGGAAAACGCTGAGTTTGGCAATTCCCGTGCCTTTCGTCTTCAAAGCGCCCAAGACGACAAATTCTCTCACAAGATCGCCACAAGAGGGCCCAGGAGGGCCCCAAGACGGACCAAGGCGGTCCCAAGGTGGCTCCTGAGGCGCCCATGACGGCCCAAGTGGCTCCCATGTCAGCCCCAAGAGCGGCTAAAGACGACCCAAGAGAGCCACAAAGCGGTCCGAGGACAGCCCCAGAGCCGCCCAAGACGGTCCCAGACGGCCCCAGGACGGCCCAAGGGGAACCAAAGACTGCCCAAGAGGCTCCCAGGAGGTCGCCACACGGCCCAACAGGGCCCCAAGAGGTTCTTACAAGGCGGAACAGAAGCCCCGGGGCGCGGCCACACCCACGGAAAATAAACCCCGACTTCGAGGTTTATTTTCCGACGCCTTGGGGCGGAGCAATCAACCCTTGCCCAGGACGTTCGTCGACTCGCCACGTCCACGGAATGCCAGTTCCTACTTCGAAGTCTTCCCCCCAGGCTCCAGATGGGGTACAGACGTCTCGCCCGGATTGTTCGTGGATCAACGACGCAAAGAAAAATACTCCGTAACCTCGGAGGCCATTCTCCATGGTCCCGCGGTCGGCCAAAAAACTCCCCAAGACCACTCATCGGCCCGCCACGTCGACGGAACATAAACGCCACGCTCGAGGTTTATTGTCCGAGGTCCCAGGTGGGCAAAAGGGTTCTGGAGAGACGTCTTTCGTCAACCTGCGCTTTGGCGCTTCGTCTGGAGTTCTGGGTTTCGTTTTTGCAGCGTTCTGTCTCTACCCTCCCAATGCATGACCCGGGGCGCGGCCACACCCACGGAAAGTAAACCCCGACTTCGAGGTTTATTTTCCGACGCCCCAGGGCGGAGCAAATAACCCTCGCCCAGGACGTTCGTCGGCTCGCCACGTCCACGGAATGCCAGTACCAACTCTGAAGGTTTCAGGCTCCAGATGGGGCACAGACGTCTCGCACGGATCGTCCGTGGATCAACGACGCCCACGAAAAAGACTCCGTAACTTCGGAGGCCATTCTCCAGGGTCCCGCGGCCATCTCCTCCATTCACACCGTCCCCTCCAACCTCCCCCCCCGCGAGGCCCCGGAGACGCTCCAATTCCGCGTCCACACCATGGCAGGCAGACTCTACGGCCGGAAGGCCGCGGGTCAGCCCTAATCTTCTCTACTACATTGCAGGGCCCAGTGCGTGCCAGAAGGGCGCAGGCCCCAATGCACCGAAACCGCCCCGGGCTGGCCCCGGGCCGCCCCGGGCCGCCCAGGCAGGCCGCCCCGGGCCGCCCAGGCAGGCTCCAGGACATGTCGAGAGGGCCCTCAGAAGCCCCCAAGACGGCCCCGGAGAGCCCCGGCACGCTCAAAGATGGGCCCAAGACGCCCGAGAGTCGCCCCAGACGGCCCAAGAGGCGTCCAAGACGCCCGAAGAGGCCTCCCAAGAGGCCTCCCAAGAGGGCCCCGAGCGACAGAAATCGTCGATTTCTATTGTGTTTTTCTATGTTTTCGGCCTCCTCGCCTCTTCGGCTTCCCGACGCTCCAAGACGGCCCAAGAAGTCCCCCCGACCGCTCCAAGACGGCCGAAGAGGACCCCAAGAGAGCCCCAAGACGGGCCAGGAGGGCCCCAAGACGGTCCCAAGACGCCCCAGGACGGCCCCAGGACGGCCCAGGAGGCGCCCAAGACGGCCCAAGAGGCACCCAAGACGGCCCCAGGAGCGGCCCAAGACGGCCCAAGACAGCCCAAGAGGCGCCGAGGCGGGCCTCAGACGGCCCCAAGACGGCCCAAGAGGCACCCAAGACGGCCCGAGAGGGCCCTAAGAGCCCCCCCGGGAGGCCCAAAAGAAGGCTGAAGAGGCTCCGAAACGGCCCCCACGAAGCCCTCAGTGGCTTCAGAATTTCCTCCAGGAGCGGGGGAGCGGACGAGAGGCGACAGGCATATCGCAGGCAAAAACGCCCGAAGAGATCCCCAAACGGCCCCCACGAAGCCCTAAGTGGCCTCAGAATTGCTTCCAGGAGGGGGGGAGCGGACGAGAGGCGACCGGCATATCGAAGGCACCATTACGACAAGAGGGGCCTGGCGCTGCACTGCGAGATGTGGAAAGCCAAGCTGGAGCCTGACGCCATCATGATTGCCTTTCGGCCCTGCAGCCGCACCCCCCCGCGCTTGCCCAGAGACCCCTCGCCACGTCGAGCTGATGTCGTGGACGGAGTCCACAGGTCTGCCCTAGTCAGTTACAACGCTGGGATCAGCGCGTGCGAGAAAGGCGAGCAGTGGCAGCTGGCCATGTCGCTGCTCAGCGAGATGTGGAAGGCGAAGTTGGAAGCCAACGTCATTAGCTACAGCGCTGGGATCAGCGCGTGCGAGACAGGTGCACGGTGGCTGCAGGCTCTGTCGCTGCTGCGCGAGATGCGCGAGAACACATTGGAGCCCAACGTCGTCAGCTACAGCGCTGGGATCAGCGCATGCGTGAAAGGCGGGCCGTGGCAGCAGGCCCTGTCGCTGTTCAGCGACATGCAGGGGGCATCGGTACAGCCCGACGCCATTAGCTATAAGTGCGGGGTCTTTGCGTACGAGAAGGGCGAGCAGTGGCAATGTGCGCTGTCCGTGGTCGGCGAAATGTATTTGAGGAAACTGGATCCGGACTTCGAAACCTACGGTGCTGTTGCCAGCATGTGCGAACAAGGCAGGGAATGGAGCCTGGCGCCGTCGTTGTTCGGGAAGGTGTGTGAGTTACTCATGGTGGGATGATGCGACCTGGAACTCTTCTGGGGCCGTTGCGTGCGAGGTGGACGACTGGGTGCAGCGGGTCATGTCGCTGGTCCACGAGACGTGGGTAGCGAAGTCAGAGCACGATGCCCTCGTCAACTCAAGCAGTCCGAGGGCGTTCCGTGTGATTCAACCACTACATCCGACATGCCGGAGCGGGTCCCGCAAGTCCTCCAGGAGGACCCTGGAGGGATCCAACGCCTTAAAGACACCATCGGGTTGAGGGATTCCCGCTCGCGCTAATCCATCTCAAGCCGCACGCATTCTGGCTGGCTCGGGGCAAGCAGACGGGGGCGAGCAGACGCTGCTGTGTCTATCAGTTTCCGCTTCTCCTTCTTGCTCCGGCCGTTGGCGGGGAGGGGGCTGGTTGAGCCCAGCCGGGGGGGCGCTTGTGGGCGTCGTGGAGCTCCCAGGGGGTGGGGAGGGCCAGCTAGCGGGTCCTCTGCGTCGGGGGGGGGAGGGCGTGGGGCTTGCAGGTAGTGGCAGGGTCGGAGGTGACACGTCAACATCTACAGGGATGGTATATTGCCTTCGCGCGCCACGTGGGAAAGACGCGGATGGGATCCTCAAAGAAGGTGCAGTCTCCCAGACCGACCAGCCGAACAGCTGCGCAGTCCAGGCGGCGTCTGGGATGGCGCTACAGGGCGAAGAGGAGACACGCAAAGGAAGGAGGCGGGAAGGGGAGGATGGAGGAGGGGGGTCGAGGAATCAGATGAGATGGAGTGAGTGAGTGACTGACTGACTGACTGACTGAGTGAGCGAGAAGTGAGTGAGTGAGTCAGTGAGTCAGTGAGTCGGTGAGTCAGTGAGTCAGGGAGTGACGCGGGGCGCTGTCTCGTCAAAACGAGGACCCAATCATACGCAGGTCTGAGTACCGCAATTGTGGCTATCGTATTCGGTGGAGCTCCCTATGGGCCACGAAACGCTGCACTGAGCGGGAAAGACGCATCCGAACCTTGCCACTGGGGCCTTCGGTGGAGCACCGTTCGGGCCACGAAACGCTGTATTGGGCGGGGGAGACGCATGCGAACTGCGCCACTGGGGCCTTCAGTGGAGCTCCCTATGCGCCACGAAACGCTGTGCCGGTCGGGGGAGACGCACGCGGACTTTGCAAAATGGGCTTTCGTGGAGCTCCTTATGGGCCAAGTAACGCTGCACGGGGGAAGTCGTATGCGAATTTTGCCAATGGGGCCTTCGGTGGAGCTCCCTTTGGGGCCACGAAACGTTATATTCAGCGGGGGAGACGCATGCGAACTTTGCCAGTGGGACCTTCGGTGGAGCTCCCTATGGGCCACGGAACGTTGTATTTCACGGGTGGAACGCATACGAACTCTGCCACTGGGGCCTTCGGTGGAGCTCTCTTTGGCGTCACGAAACTTTGCACTGGGTTGTGGAGACGCGCACGAGCTTTGCCACTGGGGCCTCCGGTGGAGCTCCCTATGGGCCACGAAACGCTGTACTTCACGGGTGGAGCGCATACGAACTCTGCCACTGGGGCCTTCGGTGGAGCTCCAAGGCGGCTCGAGAGAGCCCCAAGACGGCCCAAGAGAGGCCCACGACGGCTCAAGAGGCACCCAAGACAACCCAAGATGGCCCAAAGATGCCCACCAGAGCCCCACGGCGGCCTCCCAAGACGGCCCCAAGAGCGCTCCCAGAGAGCCCGAAGAAGCACCCCAACGGATGCTACAACGCACCCCCTTGTTGTGGCATCCGTCGAGTGCTTTCCGAAGGCCCTCTTGGGGCCGTCTTCGGGCCCTCGCGAGCCCGTCTTGGAGCAATATTCGAGGTCCTCCTGGTGCTCCCAGAACCTCCTGCAAAGCTGAGGGAAAGCCACAAGACGGCCCAAGAGGCGCTTAAGACGACCCAAGATGGCTCAGAGATGGCCCCGCCGCGTTCCCCTGCCAGGGCACCTGCGGATTTGCTCCACGGGTACGCACTACTCTGCTACAGTGCTAGGATCAGCACGTGCGACAAGGGGGAGCAGTGGCAGCGGGCGCTGGCGCTGCTCAGCGAGATGTGAGAGGTGAAGCTGGAGGCCAACGCCATCTGTACTACAACACTGGGCCCAGCGCGTGCCAGAGGGGGCATGAAATCCGCCAGCCAGCCCCGCGGTGGCAGTGCTTCCGAGGCCCCGCTCGGGCGGCGCCGACGACGACGACGACGACGACGACGACGACGACGACGAAGACGACGAGAGGCGGGCGCACCGGGGGGCGCGCGGCGAGCACGTCGGCGGCGCAGCGCGGGCACACGCAGCGGTGCCCGCAGGGCGAGAAGGCCTCGCAGAAGGCCCGAAAGGCCCCCAGAGCGCACCTCTGCCGCGCAGAAGAGCTCCCATGCGGCCCGAGGAGGAAGAGGAGGAGGAGGAGGAGGAGCACCAGGTTCCACCAGGCTCCCTGGCCTCCGAGAGGGCCACGTGGACGAACACTTACCGATATTCTCGAGGATTCTCCGTACTTCCTCTTGCGATCGCTTCTCCGGCCGAAACACGCCCAACCCGCCCCGAGAAGCCTCCCAATCGTCTGGAGGGCGCCCAGGGAGCTTCCAAGAAGAGAGCCCCCGCAACGGCTCCCGAGACCCTCAAGTCGGCCGCGGGGGTTCCCAGTACGGCCGACCAGCCCCCCAAAACGGCATCAAGGAGCCCAAACAGGCCTTCTCTGGAGCGCTCCCCCCCCCCATCCCGCCACCCGCCCACCCCCCGGCCAACGAGTCCCCAATAAGCCCACTCGAGGCTCCCAGAGGGCTTCTGGGACTCCCCAGCAGCTCCCTCGAAATGGCTCGGACATGCTCCTAGAAGGCCCGAGCTGATTAGAAAATACTGCACCCCACAGGCTACCGGAAGGCCTCCAGCAGCTCCTCCGAACAGCTCCGGTATGCTTTCAGGAAGCACCGTTGGTTCGAAAAACCATACCGGACATATCTTGGGACACCTCTCGCGCGGAGCGGTTGCAGAAAATAGCCTCCCGCGCCGAGCGTGTCCCAAGAGGTGTGGTGTGTGTGTGTTCTTGTTCCAATCATCTCGGGCCTATTCCTTCTCCTCTCCGTCGTCGCTCTCCTCCGCCACAGGAGCTCCTGCTGGAGCTGCTGCCGCTGCTGCTGGGGCCGCACTGCTGCTGTTGCTACTGGATCTGCTGCTGCTGCTGCTGCTGCTGCTGCTGCTGCTGCTGCTGCTGCTGCTGCTGCTGCTGCTGTTGCTACTGGCAATGCCCCTCGATTTGCTGCCGCTGCTACTGCTAGTGCTGCTCTGCACCCCGTCAGAATCATTCATCAAACAGCACACCCTGAAGCAACGAGCAGCAGCAATCGCGCTCTGACCACTGGCACGCGTGGACGGCAGTCCACGGCCAGGCCAGCCCCAGTCATCATCTCCACACTGCTGGGGCCAGAGGGTGCGAGAAGGCCGAGCAGTGGCAGCGGGCGCTGGCACCGCGGAGCGAGATGCGGGAAGCGAAGGTTCAGCCCGACGTCAGCTACACTACAATGCGGGGATCGGCGCGTGCGAGATTCCGCTGCCGCAGCTCGGCCGCGGGCGGCTCCTGGCGCTCCTGGGGGGCGGTCCCGGACGGCCCTGGACGGCTGCCCGACGGCGCCAAGACGTCCAACGTCGGCTCGGAGACGCTCCAGAGGGCGCCCAGAAGGCACCACAGAACCCGAAGCGAGCCTACGAATAGCCCAAGATGGCCCCAAGATAATGCCAGGAGGACTTCAAGGCCGTGGTCGACGGCCTCGGCCTGCGCTGCCTGGGCGACCTGGCGCTGCACCAGCTCCGGCGTGGAGGAGCACGAGCCACGAGCTGTGCTCGGCCGCGACACCGACGAAGGACATCCAGAAGCGCTGCCGCTGGGCGACCGACGGCTCGCTGCGTCGGTGCGCAAGGGGCGGCCGGGCCCAGGAGCAGCTGCACCGGCTTCCGCGCGCCCTACAGCCCCGTGCCGAGCAGGCCTTCCTCAGGATTGGCGACAGCTTGTCAACAAGCTGGCGTCGTGTGCGAGACGTGCCAAGTCGGGCGTGTTCCCAGAGGTGTCCAGCGGCTCAGGCCGCATGTCGGCGGCTTGGCGATTGCCGTTCAGAGCGCATCACGCCGCTTTCGAGTTGGACATTTCTCATGATGCTCACATTGATATCCGGCGCGTTCGCCAGCAGGTGTGTGGATGTGTGCGGGACCGCCTCATCATTAACATGAATCGCCACGCCCTGTCACTCGATGAGCCGAGTACGCAGTTGGCCCAATGGCCCGCCTCCGTTGCGCGCGCGTCAATATCCGCTGGGATTGCCAGATCTCTCGCCCAATGATCACTCTAAGGTGGAGCGTGGCAACGTCCCAACCACGTTCAGTTGCTCCCTGCTCCTCCTCGTTCGCAGTATGAACATACCAGTGGCGATTGCAGATACTAGCAGCTAGCACGTCCTGCTTGTGGCAGCTCCCATGCGCGCCGAATCTGATCAGAATTCTCAACTCGTTTTTCACATATTGATGCCTGCGCTGTCGCCAAACCGTGGCGAAAACGCACCAGGCTCCTGTACTGCCACATCAACCTCGAGCCATGGAACCCCAGTAAGTGTTCTTGTCGACGAATCTGCTCTTGCAGTTGCCGCCCTCATCAGGTCATCGAGGGGATTGCTGTTTCAGGCGCGTGTCGGTCTCATATAGCCGAGACGTACCCGGAAGGATTGTGTTGTCGTGTCGCCACCAGGTGTTATCAGCAGGTTCTGCGCAACCACACGTAGCCTGGACAAGTTTGTGGCCGAAAGGCTTGAGATCCAAATTCGCAAGTGCTCGAGTTGTCCTTGTTCGGTTTGTGATGGGTTCGGAGTCATCTCTCTGCCCAGTCGCCCGCTGGCCTGTCCTCTTGCTTCCTCGGAGTCCCCAGTTGAGCCCTCACACAGAGCTGGCGTATGCAAAGCGTATTCTTCGGGGAACAAAAAATGGCATAAACATAAAAACTCGGAGGTCCGCGCGGATTTCTCGGATCGGCGCTGGG